CCGTTGAGAGCTGTCGGAAGTTGGTGCTGGATAGGAACAGATGATGATCTGCGCAGAACTGAAGAAGTCGATCGCCGTTATCTGTTCGCTGGCAGGGCAGAGTACAATGAGCCCCTAGACAAGCTTCCGATGCGCTCAATTTTCCAACTTGGGCGTTAAAATCACCTAAGAGAACAACTATATCGGAGCTTCGACTCAACCGATTGAGTTCGATGAGTTTATCATAAAACTCGTCCTTTTGTGCATCCTAGAATTCATAAACGATCTACCAGATGTCCTTGGAGAAAAGGCATTATTATTCTATGGTGACGCCAGAACATGAAGGACGGTAAAATATCCTGAAGATTGTGAAACCTTGCAGGAAACTCTCGACGCAGCTTATCGATGGTCCATCTTTAATAACACCGAATTCAACGTTGAAAAATGCAAGGTTGTATCGCTGCGCCACAGGGGTCGTTTTCCATGTTCACTAGGAACACAGCCATTGCCGCGTCCTCCAAACGAAAAGGACCTTGGAGTTATCGTTCATGAGGATCTAGGATGTTCCACACATTGCGCAAGAGCGTCTTCAAAGGATTTAAAACGTTGAATTGCTAAAACGTGTTTTTGGATCATTCGAAATAGACCTATTGCTCAGTTTATTATCAGCATACATTAGACCACACACCGACTATGCTATACAGGCTTGGAATCCATGGCTGATTCGCGACCAAAAGGCACTTGAACGTCCGCAGAGAACAGCAATCAAAATGGTCAAAGGGTTACAATCTAAGACCTACGGTGAAAGACTGCGAATTCCCGGACCCTACTCGTCTGAATACCGTCGAATACGGGGAGACATGATTCTTGTTTATCAAGTACTCCATCAAGCTAACCACCCGTGACACTATCCAAGAATGGTTACCTCCGAGGACATCTGTTTCAATATCTGCTCCAAAAGAGCCAGCTAGACTGCAAGCATCATCCTTTCAGCCTCAGAGTTTGTAACGCCTGGAACTTTCTTCCACCTCAATTTGTTGGTGCACCAACCGTCGATTTATTCAAGTCACGACTGGATGAAGCATTGAACTACCTAACTTTTCAGTATCCGTGAGTGAATGTCAGAATTTGCTATTCCTTTGTACTTCCAACCGAACCCAGTGTGTACAGACCCTATGGGATTAAATAAGCATCAGCTTTGTAATTTACCCATAATGAAAAATTGAATTTCGAATTTTTCCTAAAGATTATTGTACCATGATTAGTTTAGCACACAATTTGGATTCAGACGTGTGTGGAAAATATATAAATATATAACCCGTACCACTCTCATTGGCGACAAACAGATATAAAAACGTGTAGTCACTGTTCTGTTTTCTCTGTAAGTTGAAAACGAAATGTCTTGTTGATTAAATGAAAGTGTGGATGATTTTTTTCTTTCAGAACTTCGCTTCATTCATAAAAACCGGCGGAAACATTGTACTTACCAAAAAGTGCATCAAATTCTTCGGGGCTCACGGTACACGGTGGTCCACGATGCAACTCCGGCGGGTAGTTCAACGATTCCTGAAGCCAACGTACATCTGGTGTGGAAAGCTTGCATAACAAGTCGATGTATCTGGAACGAAACGATGCGATAGAGAAGTAAAAACGATCTGTTTCAGTACAACGTCAGCTGTCGCGCTGAATCCACTGTGATCAATACCGTTCACATGCTGCCCATGCAACGCGAAAATGATGATGATCAGTACACTATCGAACGCACAAAATGATACCAGATAGATATTAATAAAACGTTGTTTTTTGCATACCAAACGCAAACCATATCGAATGAAAAGCTTCGTCGAACCCGAACTCTGTTTACATTAAGGACACCATCCGCTAGGACAGAGAGGATAAACCAGCACCGATGGCAGTGTGCGTGTGTGTGACCGCTAAATTGTTTACCCGATTGACGCGTCCGGTTTAGTACCACGCCTAAACCAACGGGGCCTATTGTGGTTCGCCATTCCAAGTACCGCGGGGCTTACGCTACCGGTTTCCATCACTGAATAACAGCAGCTCCTCGTAACCATTGGGTTCACCCGGTCTGCTATTCATCACATTAAGGTGTATAGTGAAAAAAACCGTATTATAGATGGCTACTTCTATAAATACCTCCCCCAACTTCATCCGCCTTCGTGGTGTACCGATACAAACGTTAACCGGAGAGGTTCAACGTATAGAATGGATTAGATCGGTCCACTATTAGAGCCATGTGTTCAACCGCAGAAACTTTGATAACTCCATACGGATAGGAACGGTCTTTAAAAAAAGAATGATCCAGAAAAAAATCATGCGTGCTTTATAATCCGTAACTTCGTAGTACCACTGGGAAACCTGACGAATGTTTCTTGTGTAACTAATTTGATTGATTCGCAATGCAGTACTTGTTTAGGCGCATCGCGGTTGTGTGCACAGAGAACGAAAGAGAGTTACGCTTCACCTAGTGATCTTCAACAAACTGTTGCACAAGGAATCACAATGTGTTCCATGTTGCTTGACGATATCTACTCACATTACTGTCCTCAAATCTCAGCCGTGGTTACAGACACGCATATAACCTGGAAGTGCACCTTAATACCATAGCCCCTCGCCACTTGGAAAGCTGCTTTGTAACTTCAATCCATAACTACCTTTCTGGGAAGACAAATAGCCATTTGACACGAAGTCTGTCGATCGTGCACGGGGTGCGCAGATCGTTTATCAAAACGCCAAACACAACTGGATGGTCTACAAACAGCATAACAATTACCCCACTATAAACTCATAACTCACAAGGATTTTTTATTACTCGCTGTTGTTTCATGAGCAGTAGGAGGGATAAACCCTAAGGTAAACAGAACCTACCGACTGGCTACGGAAAAAACAACGGAATCTCCGGGACAATAATTATTGAATCACTCAAGGTTACAAAAGGAGGGGTGTGTTGCCAAACCGAGCGAGAACACAGACGTCTACCACTAATATGCGTTTGGAACATTCACTGAAGCACACGGACAGTTTAGTATAGACTAAGGCGAGGTCGGCTCCGAGGAGGGTAATCTAGCACAATCAGCAAGATAAAATGGAACTGCTATCCATCACTGACTTCAGCAGGGTGGACGCCAAGTGACATACTAGCAATCTGAATCGCGCAAAATTCGTACCGATGAGGAATAGGCGATGATCAGAACATCGAACCCAAAGCCGTTTCCACTTTTACGAGCTATAGGAAACTAGACCGGAAGGACATCCCAAATAAGCTTCGCTCTTACCCCGATAAGTCAAATCAAGTATATGCTATATGCATTCCGAAAGGCGAATATTCAGCAGACAAACAAGTTGTCTATCGGGGTAACGACTATTTGCTTCACACGAGCCGTTAAATCTCACTGCGTACAACTGAGTGTCGACTGGGATCCAACTTAGCACCGCGGTTTCAGTTCCCTATCGCTGAAGGCCACGTCAACCCCAGCAATAAGCGAAGCCGCAGTTCCAGAATCGAGGGTTGGTTTCATGGGTAGATCAACTGAATGGTGCAGCTGGAATGCTGAATGAGAGCCTCTTGAATATAATGCACACTGAATGAGCTAAACACGCCAATTGTCCTAAAAGTTTCGGAATGGGCATGTTAAATGTGGTTACTTTTACGGGGAACTGTGGAAGAAGAGCGTCAGCTGATGGAGGAAGATTCCGTAACAGAACAACGGCAGGACTTCCATTTGAGACAAGCGTTTATACCACAATCATCGATAAACCAATCCAACTGTGAGAAAAGCATTTAAAGATAATTTTTAACAAAGTTACATTGCCATTATATTTCATTGGCCACTGTTATGAGTGAAATCAAACGGAAACGTAAGATAATGAAGGTAATTGAAGGTTCAACTGTATGCTGTCGAGATCGTACTTTTCATCTGTTTATTTTTCAAAACATACTACTCATTTTGCTCCTGATTTTTTCTGTTCTACGCTTAGAAAAAAAGTGCACAGAAGGAAACAGTTAACTAGTTTCTGTTCTGAATAATATAGCACATGGAATTCGCATTCGGATACGCATACCACCGATTTTATTTCCTTTCGCAAAATTGCATCTCGCTAGATCGATCAATTTGGAGATTTGTAATTTCTGTTTTGCGAAAGCATCTATTTCCACGTGTTTACCTTCCTCAGCGAATTCCAGTGTGGCTCCTCCAGTTCGACAGCCACAAATGTTTGGCGCGCCATCTACGTACCCGAAAAAACCAGCGGTGAAGTGAGAGAAAAAATGCATGCAATCATGGATCGGAAACAGAGCAGCAAATAGCCCAGACTGCATACTCACTTTGTTCGTAACGATGGTGCGATTGCAATGAACGAACCCCGATCCCAGATTAGATTAAATGGAGCCTCGTTGACGCTTTGCAGATGAAAAGAAATAAGATCTCAGGAGCTTGATAACTGAGGTAGATCGATGAAACTATGAAACGCATTCAGAACACGAGCAAAAATCTTTCAAAATCGGTAATCGGATTTGAACTTACAGATCCATCACGAATAAGTCACAAACATACAACCGTAGGCGTTGGTCAGCAGTCTGTAAAGAGAATGTTACAGCAAGAATTTAGCGTACGTACAATACACACATATGTGTGCAACATTGACTTCGGAGCACACAGGTTGTAGAGAAAAAACGAAAACAGAAACAGGGGAGATGAAAGAAGGGCGGCGGGGGGGGGGNCAGAGTGAATAACAGATGTTTTGTTACCACCGCACACTTTAACAGACAGACCGCAAGGCATTCAAGAGACTGACTTCTTTTCTGAATGGTGTTTCTCAGTACCTCTCATGAACGATCAACGTCAGCTCTTGGATTCAAACCTTTACCACAATAATCACCTATCTACGCGTCACTGCCGCAGATAACTAAGGCGTACCCACACAACAAGCCATGGTCTGTCTGATCACCGCTTCCCTAGCTACTTACAGTCCTTCCCTGCAGTTGTAAAGAAACCACCGAGAGGTAGGTGATAAGCAGACATAAGCAGAACATGAGTGTCTCATCGGAGGAAGTATAGAGCGACTTTCTTTGGCACAGAACCACGATCGGCACCCACAGAACAACAAAATTTATCATTTCTCACTCGGTGTTCCTTCCAGACAAGAGCAATATGCTTCAAAAATATATCAGCAGTTGAATAAAGAAAGTCGGTTAGCATCCCCAGGGCGGAGAAGTCAATAGTAATAGCTGTAGATTAAAACCTTACGGGCCCCGGTAAGGTAAACTAATATCGTCAAAGTAAATAGAACATCACAGCAGCGTAACAAGTGTCACAGGTTAGAGAAACCTACGCTCTATCTTTTGCTGTTCGTGATGTGATGTGATCCCTTTCGAACTCCAACTCCAACTGAGATCACGCTCTCAACTACTTATAACTGATGATCACAAAAAAGTGAGTCACCATCATTATCATCATCGTGCAGCGAAATACAGAAAAGCGAAAATTACTGATCGCTGCCAAACTCGCAATGCATATGCACTGGGGTTTGATGAACGGTTACTGCTAGGGTGTCCAGCCACTAAGCAGGACAACGATTAGGGTTCTCAACCAAAGCCCTTAGTTCTGGCAAGCACCTAACAACAAAGCAGCGGGAGAAGCGAAGTGGAGGCCCATTTACTTAGATCAATCACTCCTCCACTATTTTTTACCGAATGAAACGTAATTTCTAGTCGAGAGAGAACCAGGAGACTGCACTTCGTCCGACCTCTTCCCTTCGACTTTCCAGGCATGATTAGATCTTCGGCTTGATAAAAGCCATCTTGTGTAGCTCGTTGGGTCAGAGAGGTGTATAAGCCATTACACCACGCCAAGGTGCAGTATCGTCGTGATGGAGTAAGTGCAGGAACAGGCTCCAACCAGTCTTGAAAAAGTACTTTGTATTTTGATGGTGCAAAGAACATAAAATATCTGGATACCTCGGTCACCAAGCGATTCGGCGTATGTTGTTCGGCCCAGCTAGACGATGTTCTCGGCATATTTTGGGTCAAAAGCTCTGTTCCTTGAGACCAGTCCAACTCCACCGTTTTGTACACAAAGAAAACGTTTTTATAGAACATCCTCTATGACAAAGTTGAAAAGGAATGAGGATATAATGCAGCCGAGTCGTAATGTACTGGTGACAGCAAACGGCATTGAAAACTGACCATAAGCCTTAACCTGATCGGAGATATGACGATACAACGCCTCTCAGATACTTCAGTGCAGTCCTATCGATGCAATCGACGGCAGATATCTCGGAACACAATGATCTTTATTTTTTGGAAGCAGAACGATAGCAGCTGTCGGAAGGTGAAGCTTTGATCGATAAATCTACAGTCGGTGCAAAAACGAGCCTGCTACTGGCGCGTTTGCTCTTTGCGCGTATTATACAATCCGTAAAAAATGACGAACGCTAGCAGTTTTTGATACTATTGGGATTATAATTACGCCCCTTTAGTTAAGACAGCCACTGCGCCTACCCTTCGTAAAGATGAGGACAACAGATTCTCGTCACCACCAGTAGGAGGAGGGGACCTTCTCGGTGTCCCGTACCGTAGAGAACAGAACCTGCCGTTCACTTACGAACTTCATCCCCCTATCTTGAAATATAGCTGGAAAAAGGTCGTTGGAGCCGGATGATTAATAGTGCTCCAGGGCTCGAATATCAAAGCAAATTTCGAACTCAAAAGTTGGTTCCATCAAGATAACCCATTGTACGTGTGTTGGAACAACTCCAGCGAAAACCTGAATCTGGTGGTCAGATAAACTGTACCTCAGAGTGGTCAGCAAAAAGTACGACACAGTCGTCGATCGGAAAATGGGCGAGCAGTGAGCTTTACAGATCGCTTCACTGGCACTTAGTGCTTTCCTATCCATTCCCCGGATGAAATGAGACGGCCCACGGGGAATCCCCACCGAAGAAGCACGTTCTATTTCTGATGCCTGTTAAGATTACTCGATTTAGAGAAGACTGCTTAGGTTTGTATTAAGTCAACATGTCGCTATCAGTCGTGTTTCGTTTATGGGTGCGCACTGACGAAGAGTGTTCGACGTGCATCAAGAAGGCACGAAGACTCGGCTATGATTGGATGATCATGACCAAACAATCAGGCAAAGTGTACCGTTAACGATTTACTCCCAGGTGTCAGACTGACTGATCTAGAGTATGCAGACGACATTATGCTACTAAGTGAAGACCCAGGTAGGTTGCAAGCTTTTCTGGGTAGTTTGAGTGAAAACTCAGTTATTGAGTTTCAATAAACGGTTGCATCGAAAGTAGTAACTAATGTGATACGATAGCTTTCATGGTGAGTAGTAATGTGAAGTGTTTAGACGAACCCTTAAAATTCACTGAGAAGTGGGTCATGATTTGTGAATAGGGATGAAAAAAATGGATTTAAAACGCGTGGAAAATAGGAATACTATAATCAAACGTACACCTGACAGATATGTTTGCATATCTCTTACAAAACCACAGATCAAATTCAGGGCGGAACAGGATAGACGCCCATTAACATTGGGTGATTTTCTGGCGTTCAAGTATGGATGACTGAAGAAATAAATGAGAAAACGATGTCACAGGTAGAAGCAGAAGCAATTATGGAGGAAACATCAGTTTGGGTTCAGTTTCAGCTTGTCCAACCATTATTCATGCACCTTCGTGTGCCGGTTTCGGTTACTGTCTTTGGCTGTCTATCTGGATGAACAGTAGGAGAAAAACAGGAAGGTTGAGAGTAGAGTCAAAGAGAACATGGAGAATTGCAGTGGAGTAAGGTTGCCAAGAAATTGAGATGCATGAAGGTCAGTGTTTACGACACTCAGCCATATCACTCAGTGTCTCTAACCATCGGTTACGGTTCAGCCCGAGGTCCCCAGTCAGAGAGCCAGAGGAAACATACTGAACTTGAAATGTGCATAACAAATATTGGCCATTTTTATCCTGGTTTAGACGATCGTACTGAACTAAACTGCCGTAGAGATCATCGGGGTAGGGGAAATGCGTGTGAAAAATTTTACCTGATAGACCGTAACCACTTCTCCATTCGCAAGAGCCGTTGCTGTCTTTTTTAACTCCAAATCCGGATGTTCCTTTGAAAACGCAATGATAGCCGATTCGGCCAAATCACAGCCTACGACAGTGCAACCTTTCGATTTATACATCCAGCGAAGGTCCAAAGACTTTCCACATAGCGGAACAAACATGCGGCGAATTGCAAGGTCCGGTGGGCAAAAGTCATCCCAATATTTAACTAAACTTCTGTAAGGAGATGAGAAAAAACTTTAGTGAACGCAATCTTAGCTTGGAAAAGGATGCTGTTAGTGTGATCAGTTTATTGATTGAAGGTTTGGATCACGAACCCGGTTGATCGTGTTGACATACGAAGAATTTGGTGATGGTTGAATGCTCACAATGTTCCATGTGATAAACGTAGATTTTTGCAAAAGTAGAATTATCACCTTTATAGAGAGCTATCCCCCAAGTCAAGCGGCACATCTGAGCGCAAAGATAAACGTTGTCTCACTCTTCCCT